CAGGTGCCTCTTTGCACAACCTACACCTTGGTCTTGTCTGGTGTGGTATATCTGGGCCTCAATGGCTCTGGTGCTCAGGGCCTGCTCCTGAGGAGCCAGGATGAGTGCCTCTGTGCTGTCCTTCAGTCCAGCCCTCTCCAGCCTCCGGGGCCGATAATGATATCGCGATATCGATACCGGGGCCGATATCGATATCGCGATATTTTGGATTTTTTTTTTTTTTTTATATATATATATATATATAAAATCCTCGTCTCACCCCTCGGGTGGTGTCCATCCCTCATTCAGCTCGGGTCCTCTACCAGAGGCCAGGAAGCTTGAGGGTTCTGCGCAGTATCCTTGCTGTTCCCAGCACTGCACATTTCTGGACTGAGATGTCCGATGTTGTTCCCGGGATCTGTTGCAAACACTCATCAAGTTTGGGGGTCACTGCCCCGAGTGCTCCGACCACCACAGGCACGACTGTCACCTTTACCTTTCAGGCTCTCTCCAGCTCCTCTCTGAGCCCTTGGTATTTCTCGAGTTTCTCGTGTTCCTTCTTTCTGATGTTTCCATCACTTGGGACCGCTACATCCACTACAACGGCTTTCCTCTGCCCTTTATCTATGATCACGATATCTGGTTGGTTCGCCAACGAGACGAGATGTGATATATATATATATTCGTGAAAATTTGCTACCTGCGGTTGGGCTCAATCCAGCATGAACTATAATATAGACTATATAGTCCACTTTAGAAGAGATGTTCTACGATGTTGAGATATGTTCTTTTCCTGACTATGCAGTGCCTGGGCAAACTGGCATTAAAAGACTACATTTTTCTAAATCACTTCCTGTGTATCATTGCAGAATCGTGAGTCTTCTACTGACTTCCTGGCTCTGGCCTCATGATGGCCCAATGTTCTTCAATGCTTCAGCTGTACAACGTCGGTTTGAGACGTTGCGCAGCTCTTTCCACTCATTTCCCACACACTTCACCAAAGACACGCGCACCTTTTGCAAACTCTTACTCCACGGACATCAAGGTGCGTTCCTACTTCCAATACCTTAAACACAAGATGATATCCCCTCCCAGTCCTCCCTACCATCATGTATGTCAAGTGGGGGACCCGGTGCTGCGATCAAAAGCTGTAGCAGTTGACCCAGCAGCTATTAAAGGACCTGAGGTCCAGAAGGTAATAAACACACTGGTCAAAGTCATGCGTAAATTTGAGTGTGTTGGCATTAGCGCTCCTCAGATCGGGGTGCCACTTAGAATCCTGGCCTTGGAGTATCCGCAGAAGCTTTTGGATGAGAGTTCGCCCGTGTCTCGAAAAGTTCGTGGACTCTCTGTCCAGCCATTGAGAATATTTGTCAACCCTCAGATGAGGGTGCTGGATTGGCAGACAGTGCTATTTCAAGAAGCCTGCGAGAGCCTCTGTGGTTTTTCTGCCACAGTTCCACGTTACCTTTCAGTAGAAGTATCAGGTACATCATTTTAGATCACAATTTTGTCATGAATCTAATCTGCAAAATCTGAGAAAACATTTTTTTCCCCATGTTTGCTTCCCCGTAGGTCTGAATGAAAACGGAGAAGATACAACTTGGCAGGGCAGCGGTTGGCCAGCTCGAATCCTCCAGCACGAGATGGACCACTTGAATGGGGTGCTTTACATTGATCACATGGACAGCAAGACTTTCATCAATATCCACTGGCAGGCATACAATGAATAGAAAAGACCACAAAGTGTTTCGAGTCTTTTCTCTGATGGAAACAAACTATCAACTGTGTGTGCATACATTCTTTTGCGAAGTGTCCGATGAATCAACTTGGATTTATGTGTAGGAATGGTTAAATTCCAGCACAACTCCGATCATGCGTACATTAAAGAAAAACCTAGTGGGAGAACAGTAAAACTACAAATACAACACAAGGCAAGGTCTACAGAGCTCGTCCCACCAATCAATTCCGGTGCTCGTCAAACGAGAGAGGATAAAAGAGATTTTAGGTAAAGTCTGGCTGTTAGCTTTCTTTGAAAAGTGATACATTTCAAATTGAAAGTGTGTGTCGGACGATCATCCACCCATTCAATATTTGAACGTTTGAAAGTTAATTGATGGTTACAAGTTTGATGCGCATGCAGGAATCTGTGTCAGTGCCTTGCTGGTTTGCAATACAGTGTTTGCAATCTTTTTGGGGATCCATCCATTTTCTGATCCGCTTATCCTCACACGGGGGGGCGATCCCCGTCTTCAGACAGTAGGTGGGAGACACCCTGAACCGGTTGCCAGCCAATCGTGGGGCACACAGAGACGAACAACCATCCACGCTCACAATCACACCGAGGGACAATTTTCAGTGTTCCATTCACCTGCCATGAATGTTTTTGGAATGTGGGAGGAAACTGGAGGACCCGGAGAAAACCCACGCCGACACGGGGAGAACATGCAAACTCCACACAGGAAGCCCGGAGCCAGCACCAAAACCTGCACCTCTGCACTGTGAGGCCAACACTTTAACCAGTCGATCACCGGACCGCCCTGTTGTTGTGGATACTTGATTTAATTTATGGGCTTGGTTTTGTCTTGTTGATTTTGCAGCAGTGCCTCCGTCAATAACTCCCCATAACATTCCGTCAAAGCCGCCAGCTCCTGAGCGCAGGCAGGACTGGCTTTAGTTTCTGAATACCGTAATTATTGAACCATCACAACATGGATAGGTTTATTTTAATTTTCACGGATTATACTGGCTAAATAAACTGATGTCCAATCATTAAAAGAATGTATCTGAGGCTGTTCTGCCCTCTGCTCCAACAGAAATAAATACAGCCGTTATACCGCACCAAATGTGTTCTTTTGTTCCTGAATTTAAGTGTTCCAAATAGTACGTTTTGGTTTCCACTTGTACTACAAGTTTTACTGAAGCGCTGTGATTGGGGGGGATATTCCGCCCTCTTTCCTCTGATTTTAAATCTTCGTAATGCAGTGCGCCGTTTACAAACCCGTTGATTGTGTATGTGCTGTGAGGGCAGGAGGACGTAATGGCATGTCGCAGTGCAATGCGTAAAGTGTGGGCATTTACCGGTACTGTGACGTGATGTGGCCTTGAATTGAAAAATGTTCAACTCGAGAGGGATGACACGGTGAGGTCAGAAGTCGCACCTAGTAGGAGACGGGATGGCAGAGTGATGAGAGTACTCAAAGCAACCAACCAGTGGAAAAAGTCTCCCTGTCACTTTATGGTTGGCTGCCATGCGAGCACTTCAAAATAAGGGCAAACTTGCCCCAGGGTTCTATCGTCCTCCCGTGCTGCCCCATGGCGAACACCAAGTCCAATAAGAAAAGGGGTTAAATGCATGAGCATGGCAATTTAGAACAGGTGGGGTTTAACAACCTCTTCGGATGTACAGTACTCAAATACTTAGACTTGCCAAATCTTAAATCCACTAAAAGTGAGAGTGAGATGGCAGTATCCTCACAGGGTGGCGTAGCGTGACCTCACAGTGGCCACAGGGGACTGAGACTAGTGTGTGTTTGTGGCTGTGTCGTTTCCAAACTAATGAGATTGGATTACTAAAAAACATATTAACAACATATAAAAAACATGGATAAATAAAAACATAATACAATGACTTGCAAATCATGTTGACTGTATAGCAGGGGTGTCAAACTCATTTCACATTGTGGGCCACATACGGCCTCTGTAGATGTCAAATGGACCGGACCATTAAAATTATACCATACTCTGCTATAAATAACCAAAATATTATGTCTTTGCTTTGTTTGGGTCTAAAGAAGCACAAGAACATTAGGAAAATGTTGACATTTAATGAACCTATCTTTTACAAATCATTTCATGAAGCACCTTAGATTTCCTTAGGCAAATGTGCAATTTACTTTTATCATTCACATATATGCATTGCAACTGATCCCACTGAGTGTGCAAAGGCACAAAACTTTAACAAGTAATTGGTATTGAAAAATATAGTAGTGCATTTTAAAATTAAAAAAAAAAACGAGATTCGTAAAGAAAGGAATTTTAAAACCATTTACAAATGTGCATATAAAATCTAAATGAAATCCCTGCCTACACCTTACAAACTAAGGAGAGTGCTATAAAATGTGTAAAGAATAAAGTATTCACATTTCCTTGATAGCGTCTGCTGTGTTGATTGTTGAGTGAGTCTGCTTCAGTGACAGACTGAGACTGCTGTTTTCTTCTTCTCTGATCAAAACAATGTTGTCTTCTACTCTGATCAAAACAGTGTCCCCTAGCGGATACTCTATGAATTGTACATTATTAAAAATATTCATTCCGTATCTTTTATGCATTTTTTCACTTTTAAATAATCCTGTGGGCATGATCGAACCTCCTTGGGGGCCGGTTCCGGCTCGTGTGCCTTACGTTTGACACCACTGCGATATAGTTAATCAAATACACTACAAAGAGGAGATACAGTATTTAGTGTTCAAACTGCTAAACTTGAACCATTAACTTGGCTGCAACACATTCCACAAAAAGCTGGGACAGGGTCATGTTTACCATTGTGTCACATCACTTTTTTTTTTTTTTTTAAATGACAACATTAAATAAATATTTTGGGAACTGAGTACACTGATTGTTGAAGCGTTGTAGGTGGAATTGTTTCCCATTCTTACTTGATGGGATAGCGTCAGCTTCTCAATAGTCTGGGGTCTCTGTTGTCATATTTTATGTTTTGTAATGGGCCACAAATTTTCAATGGAAAACGGGTCTGGACTGCAAGCCAGCCAGTCTAGTACCCGTACGCTGTTGTAACACATGCAGAATGTGGTTTGGCATTGTCTTGCTGAATTAAGCAGTGGCGTCCATTTAAAAAGATATTGCTTGGATGGCAGCATAGGTTTCTCCAAAACCTGTATGTACCTTTTCAATAATGGTGCCGTCACCGATATTTAAATTACCCACGCAATTGGCACTAACACAACCCCATACCATCACAAATGCTGGCTTTTCAACTTTGCGTCCTTAGCAGTCCGGATGGTTCTTTTCCTCTATGGCCTTGAGGGCATGATGTCGACAATTTCCAAAATCAATTTGAAATGTGTTCCACTTTGCGTCAGTCCATCTTAGATGAACTCAGGCCCAGAGAACTTGGCGGTGTTTCTGGTTGCTGTTGATAAATGACCTTTGCTTTGAATAGTAGAGTTTTAAGTTGCACTTCGGCTGTCACGCCCATTTGTTTTCTGAAATGTTCTTGAGCCCGTGTGGTGGTATCCTTTACACATTGATGTCATTTATTGATACAGTGCCGCCTGAGGGATCAAAGTTCACTGGCATTCAGTCTTGGTTCTAGGCCTTGCTGCTTACATGAAGTGATTTCTTGAGATTCTCTCAACCTTTTGATATTATGGACTGTATGTGATAAAATCCCTAAATTCCTTGCAACTGTACATTGAGGAGAGTCGCTCATGGTGTAGTGGTACACTCGGCTGACTTGTTTGCAAGCAGTGTGGGATTGGCTTCCATGGGGATGTGTGTGTGAATGGTTGTTCATCTCTATGTGTGTTTCTGCGACTGGCTGGCGACGTGTTCAGGGTGTAATCTGCCTTTTGCCCAGACTCAGCTGGAATAGGCTCCAGCACCCTCCCGTGACCCTGTTCAGGATAAGCGGAGTTGAAAATGGATGGATGCGTGTACGTTGAGGAATAGTACGCCTGCAAACCGAACATTATTTTCAGTAATGCTGTGATTGGCTGTTGCAGATAAGACTGGCTATCAATCAAACAAAAATGGCATCACTGTTTCCTTGTATTTTTTTATGTCTTAACGATAAGCAACTCAACATTAATATTTCACCAAAAAAAAAACAAAAACAAAAACAAAAAAACATAGCTACTGTGATAAAATGCAATAACTATAATAAAGCTTTACTTTTAGAAATCCGTGGCTCAAAATGGCATGAGAATCTCGGTGGGCAGGCACCAAAAGACAGACAACACAGCCAGCTTTCTTAACCAGCTGGATTGATCATTAGTGAAATGGGTGTCCATAGGTACTTTATTATTCTCTGACTGTACACTAGGTTGCTACAAAACCACTATTGGGATGAAAACGGTTGTGCTGTTAATAGCCCGTGAAGAAAATACAGTGTTTGACTCCACTCTGGCCTTGTAATTTTGCCTCCCGACACCATACACTTAACCTGGTTAGGGACGATTAAAGGGACAGAAAAATACCTACTTCCGTCCTTGCTTGGTCCGTCCTTTTTACAAAACTTCTCATCCTCCGTCCCAAAAATGGGAGCTGACTTCGGAAAGTAGGTGGCATCCACCTTGACCTGCTTGCCACCACAGGGCACACAAAAAAATCTGAAATAAATGTATGTCAGCACGTCGCAACACCGGGGCTAGGGGGTGCTATAGTCCCATCAGAAAACTAACTTGCCCCGGTTCAGCCAGCCCCAGTAATTTACTTTCCATCCATCCATTACCGCTTTATGCTGACGAGGTTAGGGGGGTGCTGGAGCACACATAGACAAACGACCATTCACACTATCAATAACAACTAAGAAAAATGTAGAGTGGGAAGAAACCAGAGTACCCGGGCAAAACTTGTGCAGGCATGGGGAAAACATGCAAACTCTGCACAACAAATCCGGAGCCCAGATCCAAATCCATGACCTCTACATTGTGAGGCGGATGAACTAACCAGTCATCCACCGTGCTGCCTTCCTTTATTCCAGTATATATATTTTCTTCTTTTCCATGTTTTGGAGCAAACCACCTGCTCATAGCGGAGTTGACATTCGACCTGGATTGCCAGTTTTTCATGAAGCACCACAGTCAAAGACATAGTTCACTGCAGTTGGGTTTCATAAACGGAGAGATATGATTGGTGTGGCCTTTCAAAATACTGCTTTCTAAGGTAAATACTTTCAACATTCAGATGTGGACTGAAGATAGCTTGACATTTTTATCCATCCATCCATCTTCTGATCCGCTTTATCCTCATAAGGGTTGCGGGGCGTGCTGGAGCCTATCCCAGCTGCCTTCGCACAGGAGGCGAGGGACACCCTGAACCAGTTGCCAGCCAATCGCAGGGCACACAGAGACGAACAACCATCCGCGCTCACACTCACACCGAGGGACAATTTTGAGTGTTCAATCAGCCTGCCAAGCATGTTTTTGGAATGTGGGAGGAAACCGGAGTAC